CAAAGTCACCTCTAGGTCACTTCTAGCTTGAAAGGTTCAAACAGTTACTCCTTCCGCCTGCCTGTTTCCCCCTCCACCCCCCCCACAGCTCTCCTCCTTTGCCCACTCCATGCGGGTCATCCGGGGCAGCTTCAGTGATCTCGACAGCTGCTTCAGCTTCCCATTTCAATATCTCCACTTGCTTGTCTGTTCTTTCCACCCCCCCTCCCCCCCCTCAACAGCTCTCCTCCTTTGCCCACTCCATGCGGGTCATCCGGGGCAGCTTCAGTGATCTCGACAGCTGCTTCAGCTTCCCATTTCAATATCTCCACTCGCTTGTCTGTTCTTTCCACCCCCCCTCCCCCCCCTCAACAGCTCTCCTCCTTTGCCCACTCCATGCGGGTCATCCGGGGCAGCTTCAGTGATCTCGACAGCTGCTTCAGCTTCCCATCTCAATATCTCCACTCGCTTGTCTGTTCTTTCCACCCCCCCTCCCCCCCCTCAACAGCTCTCCTCCTTTGCCCACTCCATGCGGGTCATCCGGGGCAGCTTCAGTGATCTCGACAGCTGCTTCAGCTTCCCATCTCAATATCTTCACTCGCTTGTCTGTTCTTTCCACCCCCTCCCCCCCCTCAACAGCTCTCCTCCTTTGCCCACTCCATGCGGGTCATCCGGGGCAGCTTCAGCGATCTCGACAGCTGCTTCAGCTTCCCGAGAGCCTGCCCGCAGCCGGACCTCACCCGCACGCGCCGGGTCTTCCGAGTCAACTCCCGGAGCTACACGGCCGATAACCTATCAAGGGTGCTCGAGCGCCGCCTGCAGCGCTGCCCTGCGGGCTCTTCTTCCCGCCGCTTCTCGATGCTCAAGGGCGATACGGTGGGTGGTGAAGGGAGGTAGGGGTGCATGGTGGGTGGCTTTCAGGGGGAGGTGGGGCGTTGGTTGGGTGCCTTACAGGAGTTCTCAACTCAGTAGCTGTTTCTCTGCATTGATTCTTGTTGCTCGTTCTCGACTCGGTAAGTGGTGAGGGGGGGTGGAGAGCTGACCGCTCATTACCAGTGAGGCCTTGGCACCTGATCACGGGTTTGTGAAGAGCTTTGTCTGATGTTCACCGTCTTTCTTGTTTTCTTTTTCTTTCTTGCATGGGCAGGAGAAGACGGAGCAAGGGCCAGGCATCAAGCCAGAGAGGATGACAGAGATTATTCTGGCACAGTTTGGGGAAGAGATGGGGTCAGTGGTGCGCACTCCAGGGCAAGGCACCGACAGGGATGAAGACCTCGAGCTCATGAAGGTGCGCTCACTGTATTGTACACCCATATTGTGTTCTGTTTAATGTATGTAAATACCCTGTACTTGGAGCACAAAATGCAACAATATCTGTAACCGGTCTGTTGCTTTGGTTTTTCCAGGAGGAGGTGTTTCGGATCGAGAAGAGCACGACGGTGTCGTCGGAAGGGCTGGCGGAGCTGCAAGGGGAGGTGCAGATGCAGCGCCGGGCTCTTCGCAACCTGCAGCGGCAGCTCACCAAGCGGGACCTCCGATTGGAAGAGCAGACCGCAGAGTTGCAGCGCCAGCTGGCGCAACAGCATCAGCTCCTGCTTCGTCTGGTCAATGCTAGGAATTGAAGAGTAGTGTTGTTTGGTATTTAACGTCTTCAGCCTCTTTCTGGGTGGTCGCAACATTCTCGTGCCACCTTTATTCACATGTTTTTATGTGTGGTGATTGGCAGTGAATGAGTGGTTGGTTGATTACTGTGTTGGAAAATCAGAAATGAATTGTGATTGGCTGCAGTGGAAGTGCTGAACAACGCTCAGGGCCACTGCGTCTGCACTGCAGCATTCTTAGGGTACATTCCGCTGTGGACACTTTCTCAAAGAAAGTGTCCGAATCGATTGTGACGTGTACCGTATGTACAGCATATGCTGCCAGGTGTCTGAAAGCTGGGCCACACGTGTTTGTCGCCAAACGTATTTATCATTGGGCTGCTCGTCCGCGTCTTCGAACACACCAGCCTCAATCATGCCGACGAAGGACTTGGCTACATTTTCGTAAAAGATAGTGTAGTAGTAGGTGACCCAGGCGACGAGTAGGCGTAGGATGAAGGGGATGGCCCTAGGCTTCGCCATTGTGCGTAGATCATGCGTGTGTAGTGGCTATAGTTGTGCTCTGTTTGCTTTATCTTGCCCTAGTATGTGATGTCGTGCTGGCGTTGTACCTACAGTTGTGGCATTTATTGGGGGGGCGGAGGAATACGTAACCCTCCGCGTCCTCCACAGACACCACCCAGGATCTATTGCGGGCCTGGCGATGTTGGTGCGTGTGACGCGCAAGATGACTGTCTTAGAAGTTAGGCATGGGTGAGTTGCACTATCGAGATAATTGAGTACAAGGGAAAACCCTAAGGGGTTATACCCCACATAATCTACCCCACTACAGCCTACCCACAAATATGATATAAACATATGTTTGACAGACAGGGCCACCTTCAGGTCTGACCAATCATAATCGTTCACATATAATTGTCGCGCGTCTGTGCAGAGTCGCGATACATCGATCGATTGGGACATGCAGACCCGAGACATTTGAGGGCGACTCGGGCCAAATGTGATTGGGACACTTTCTTTGAAATTGTCCACAGCGGAATGTACCCTTAGGCGTGGAATGCTCATGAATTGTGGCCACTAAGGGCGTATTCCTACGGCCTCCTATCAAGCCACCTCCTATCAAGATTGTACCTTTTGCCCGGTAAAAGTAGAGAGAGGTTTTGGGTTTAGTAGACTTTTCAGTGTGAGCTTGATAGGAGGTCAGATTGATAGGAGGATAGGAATTCGCCCTAAGTCGCCCAAGATTTTTATGATCCCCCTCTGGTGTATTATAGCTGAATGAAATACTGTCATTCATAATCAACCTCTATTTAAACATGCTCCTTTACAAATCATAAAATCATCCACAACGTTTGTGCTGTAACGAAGTCTCATGGCTGAAAGCTGGTACCGTTAGAACTAACGCCTTCTTGGACGACGGCCGACACCCTACTGTCGCAAGGAGTGTCGGAACTGGCCATCGCCGCAATTCGTGGTCGCAATGATTCCTACACACCTGAACAGCGCCATGCGGTTCGCAACCAGGTCCCTCCAGAATGAGCGTCGCCAAAACTTTTGACTGCAGCGCCCCCAGTAAGTTTTATTGGGTTTTTATACGGGCCGTCACAAAACATTTCGGAGTTTTCACGAGCAGTCATATGTTCCGCCAAATCTATCACGGACAGTCACAAAATCTGCCAAATCTATCACGAAGCATCACACGGGTATCACCCGCCGTCACTCAAAGGCACTAATTTCTATCACGGGTAGTCACACTCGAAACTTTGCTATCACAGATGAACCCTCTCATCATTTCGTTGACCCGCCCTGAAACACTGTACAGATTTAGGGACTATATTTCGGATTGCTGGCTTTTGTCCTGTATACGCGACCATTTCGGGTGCAAAGATACCTGGTTACTTTCGAATCGACGTAACACACTTTTGTTTTAAAAATTTATGAAAGAATTCGAACGCATATATGTATACATTGCTAGAGTTCACAATTCACTGAATCTGCCTACATGTTTATCAAAATGCTAAACAATCCATAACTTGGAACGCACAATTTATATCATCCTCTGTATGAATAAATATAAATTTTGCGTTCCAAGTTATGGATTATTTAGCATTTTGATAAACATGTAGGCAGATTCAGTGAATTGTGAACTCTAGCAATATATACATATATGCGTTCGAATTCTTTCATAAAATTTTTAAAACAAAAGTGTGTTACGTCGATTCGAAAGTAACCAGGTATCTTTGCACCCAAAATGGTCGCGTATACAGGACAAAAGCCAGCAATCCGAAATATAGTCCCTAAATCTGTACAGTGTTTCAGTGCGGGTCAACGAAATGATGAGAGGGTTCATCTGTGATAGCAAAGTTTCGAGTGTGACTACCCGTGATAGAAATTAGTGCCTTTGAGTGACGGCGGGTGATACCCGTGTGATGGTTCTAGATAGATTTGGCAGATTTTGTGACTGTCCGTGATAGATTTGGCGGAACATGTGACTGCTCGTGATAGCTCCGAAATGTTTTGTGACGGCCTGTATAAAAACCCTTTCCTTTTTGCCCTGCGCTCGCACATGGTCGCAAGCCTGGTCAGGTTGGTGCCACCGCAGGTTGAGGCGCCCCTTGAGCTGGTGTGCTGACGAAATCTCGTTGCGCGGGAAACGCGCGGAGCGAAAGGGGGGGAAGAGGATGGCTGGATGGACGAATTGGTGGGTAAGGGGGGCGCATTTCCCCCAAACACCTGCAGAACCCTTCCGCAGCATAGCGGAGCACACCTGCTCTGCTCCCCCGACCAGCTGGGGACGAGAAAGAGGCATTGGGGTGGATGGATGGGGTTGATGTTGTGGAGCAGCACTCGCCAGTTCCATTCCATTCCATCCCCTGCTCGAGCGTTTCTGGACGGCTGTGCGGGGCACAACCATCGCCTCAACACGGCATCCTCTCTCTGGGCTAGACTTCATGCCACAGCAGAAATATTCTCGTCGTTAGATTTCTGTTTTCGCATCCACGTCATGCCTTGGGCCTCGCAGTTTTGACCGAGAACCACGGTTTCGCCAGACTGTGGTAACTGAACGATAATCTACCCATATAGATTGCCGTATTTCTCGTGACGTAAGTATATGCGTCTATTTGCTCCATCCAGTTAGGACCGCTTAGGGCGCTTCCCTAAACAGTCGATGTTCGTTCTTTGTTCCAAGTGACACCGCGTAGGTTAGCCGAGCTTCTCAACCATTCCTTACTAGTAGTTTCGCATCTCCTACGCGAATCCCGCTTGAACCCCGGAAGCACGCAGGCAGTTCGCATCGGAACCATGGCGCGTTCCCTCCTCGCCATCCTCCTGTGCCTCACCCTCGCGACCTCCGCCCTCGCCCGCACGTACGACCGCCCCCACTTGCACCGCATGCACGCCCGCCGCGGCCTGCGCCACATGCGTGACCCAGCGGCTGGCTCGCGGCGCCGCCTCTTCTCCTCCGCGTTCGGCGACGAAGCTTCCTCCAGCAACCCTGACGAAGACTACATCGGATTCGACGATTTCGTCTCCGGGCCGACCGCTCCCGCTTCCGCGCAGCTCAAGGCATTGTTGGATATTAAAGCCGCCTGGAAGAGCGGCTTCTACGCAGCTTCCACGTGGAAGGAGGGCAGTACGGACACATCCGCGTGGGAGGGCCTCGATATTGACGACTCTGGGAATGTCGTCAGCATGCGGCTGGTCTCCGCGGGCGTCGAAGGCCCGCTGCCCGCGGCATTCGCTGCACTGACGGCCCTCACGTCGCTAGATCTCCGCCAAAATAAGCTGACCGGCGAGATTCCCCGCGGTGTTTTTTCCAAGATGCCGTACCTCAAGGAGTTTTACGTAGCCGATAACAAGCTCTCGGGGCTGTTTCCGTGGAGACAAATATTCGGGCAGGCGAATTCCCCGCTGCAAATGTTCGAAATCGACGGCAACGCTTTCACTGGTGGCATTCCCAACACCCTCTTCCAGAACTCGCCGAATCTCCAAACTTTCACAGCTAGCGGCAACAAGTTCACCGGGCAGATGCCTACTGGTTTGTCGGGCTGCCCGCTTCTTTCGGTCATCGATTTGTCGGACAACCAGCTGACCGGCCCAATTCCGTCCGCGTTTGGCCGGATGGACGGGCTCGAAGTGTTCGACGTCGGCAACAACCTGCTGACCGGTTACCTGCCGGCAACCTTCGGACTCTCCGCAACTCTCATGAATTTCGATGTTAGCAACAACAAGCTGAGCGGTTACCTCCCCGCATCGCTGGCCAATCTCGGCCAATCGCTGCGGGCCTTCAAAGTGGCGAACAACTACTTTACTGGCGTTTTGCCCAAGTTCCCAAACCTCGGGAGGGGATGCGGCCCCAAGGGCTCCGACGCTGTTTCCTGTTACAGGTTCTCAAGCATCATTGATTTGAGCAACAACTACTTTTTCGGAAAAGATGAGATGACCATCCAGGCGGCCAATTGGACAGGCACGCCCAAGACCGCCGTAATCTGCCCAGGCAAAGACTTTCCGAATGACATTTCTGTTCAGGGAAATTGCTTGGTGTCCACTGCGACCTGCACAGCCAAGTCGCAGAGGGCTGCTGCGCAATGCACTGCGTTCTGTGGGACAGGCGCAGGTTCTCCTCAGTGCGGAGGCGGGGGTGTCTGTTTCTGGGATGCAACTAGTGGTAAGGCGGCATGCCGGTGCAAGGAGGGCTTCGTGGTTTCTGCTGATGGCATGACTTGCACCAAGCCAGCTGTTGCATGAGATGGGCTGCAGAGGTCTAAAGGTGATGCAGTGTAGCGATATGCTGGCTGACGAATACTCCTTGCAGGATAATGAGCGAGAAGGTGCAGCACCATTGTATGGTTATTGTGTTTCTGTTTGCATGCTGGGTGTAAGGCCTTTGACTGTGGGTGTGACGTGGTGCTTACGTCCTGTATTGTGGTTAGAGGTGTGTTTGCTAAGCTCGTGGGGGGGTGCTGCTGATTTCTTTATTGCACTTACCTTGTAAATCCATGAACTTCTTTAAAGCAACAGTATACTTTTGCAAGCGGGGGTTTAAAAACCTTAGGAACTTGAAAAACTGGTTACGCGATTACAAACCTAACCCCCCCTGTTGAGAGGCGAAGGAGTCCCCAAACGCCCCACATCCGGCTCCCCGCACTCACAGTTCAAAACCTTAGGAATTGCAAAAGGGAACTGAAACTGCGGTAGTGAGAGGATAGCCCACACGCTCCTACTTCGGTAGGTTATTCCGTGTAGACTAGGCAACATTGTAACCTAACAGCTAGATTTAGGGACAGAATCTGTTACTGAACCGCGTAACGCTGTTTGCGCGCATGCGCGGACAAATCGCCACGCCTACGCACTCGCTTAGGCCACACCACCTTAGACAAGACCGCCCCACGCCTCCTCTCGCTGCCTCACCGCGAGGCCATTGGCGACAGCGCCTCCCCTCCCCACAAAGTCCCGTTTAGCCTCGACGCGCTAGCATCTGCATCCCATCCCTTCCTCCACTCCTAGCTCGCCGTCCGCCGTTCGCCGCACGCGATTGGGTACGTCATCCCCCCTTCCCGCCACGCCATCTCCCCTTCCCGCCACGCCTTCTCCCCTTCCGGGCACGCCCTTGTTTCCTCCCCTGCACGCCCTCATTCCAGAGCACTGAATTTCCCTTTCCGCAACCTCATTTCCGCCCGAAATCCCCTTTTCCGCAACCTCTCGCCTTACCCATTCCTGCTCCTATTGCCTCCCGGTTCAAATTCTTCTTTCGCCTCCCCGCGCGTGCTCCTCTCGCATCCCCTCGCTCTCCTCGCGCTTTCCCCGCCCGGCCTCCTCACGCCTCCCCGCGCGCTCGACTCTCGCCTCCACGCGCGGCCTCCTCTCGCCTTGCCGCGCGTTCTCCTCTCGCCTCCCCGCGCCTGCTCTTTTTCGCCTCCCCGCGCCTGCTCTTCTCGCCTCCCCGCGCCTGCTCCTCTCGCCTCCCCGCGCGCGCGATTTTCGCCTCCCCGCGCTCTCCTCTCGCCTCTCCGCGCGTCCCACCTCCACACGTGTCCTCCTCTCGCCTTCCCGCACATGCGCATCTAGCCTGCGTCGTCGGCTTCACCCTGCCTCCCCTCGCTGCCTCTCCGCGTCTCGCGGCGGCCTCCCAAAGCGAGCTGCACTCGAATAAGGCCCTTCTCCTCCTCTCACCACGCCTTCTCCTCCTCTCACCACGCCTTCTCCTCCTCTCACCACGCGTTCTCCTCCTCTCACCACGCCTTCTCCTCCTCTCACCACGCCTTCTCCTCCTCTCACCACGCCTTCTCCTCCTCTCACCACGCCTTCTCCTCCTCTCACCACGCCTTCTCCTCCTCTCACCACGCCTTCTCCTCCTCTCACCATGCCTTCTCCTCCTCCCGCCACCCCCTCTCCTCCTCCCACTATGCCTTCTCCCCCTCCCGCCGTGCCCTATCGTCCTCACGTCATGCCTTCTCCTCCTCTCGCCATGCCTTCTCCTCTCGCCATGCCTTCTCCTCCTCTCACCATGCCTTCTCCTCCTCTCACCACGCCTTCTCCTCCTCCCACCATGCCTTTTCCTCATCCCACCATGCCTCCTCCCCCTCCCGCCGTGCCTTCTCGTCCTCTTGCCACTCCTCCTCTCCTGCTTCCCACCATTTCCCCGCCTGCTTCCCCTATTTTCCCCCTCTGCTCCTCTTTCCCCATCTTCTCAACTTTCCCACCTCCGCTCTTTTTTCCCCTCTGCTTCTCTTCTCCCCCTCTTCTCCTCTTTTCCCTCACTGCTCCTCTTTCCCCCCTGTGCTCCTCTTTTCCCCCCCCTACTCCACTTTCCCCCTCTGCTCCTCTTTCCCTCTCTGCTCCTCTTTTTCCCGTCTGCTCCTCTTGTCCCCCTCGGCTCATCTTTCCCCCCTCTGCTCATCCTTTTCCTTACTGCACCTCTTTCCACCCACTGCTCCTCTTTTCCCCCTCTGCTCCTGTTTCCCCCCCCCCGCTCTCAGTTTTCCTCCCCTACTCCCCTTACCCTCTCTGATCCTCTTTTCCCCCTCAAATCCTCCTTCCCATCCGCACCTCCCCCGTCCCCTCTTATTCCTCTCCCTTCCCCGCCAGCTCACTCACCCCTTTCTTCTTTTGCTTCTCAGCCGCCAGTGAACCCGCGGGCTCCGGTTCTTTAGTTGTTCTGCCTGATATTCTCTACCCTTTACGACACAGCTCTTCTCTCCACACCATGCTCATATTCCCTTCCCGCCATGCCATTTTCCCTGGCGGTGAAGGCCGTGAGAGTGCTCTGCCTACAGGTGGCTGATGCTTTCTCTCAATCGACATGGCGCAAGGTGAGGGGTGGAGGTAGTGGGCGGGGGACGGGAGAAGTGGGGAGGGGGGGTGGGAAGGGGACAGGCAAGGGCCAAGCAAAGAGGAAGGTAGGGAGGAGAATTTGAAGTGCAATGAGGCTGCTGTCCATGTGCTCCCTCGTGCTCGTCTCCAACATGCAGAGCCCCATCCTTGCCTTGCCGTCCCCAACCCCACCCTTCCCACCCAGGTGCCATGAAAAGCCACGCTCATCTTTCTTACTTCCCATTCTTACGTCCCATCTCCCCTCCCTCCCTTCCTATCTCCTTCCCTCCCTGCCCTTCCCTTTCTGCCCTACCCTTCCTGCAATTCTTACCCCTCATATACTTCCATTCCTTAGTTTTTTTCCACATCCCTGCCTTCGCATCTCACATCCCTGCCTTCCCATCTCACATCCCTGCCTTCCCTACTCACATCCCTGCCTTTTTTCCTCACATCCCTGCCTTCCCTCCCATAGGTTTGGGGCCCCACTATATACCGTTGCGACACCACGTGCCGTACAGCCAGTATGCATACGCAAAGCTGCAGGTTTTGCATGCAATCCTGCTACACACAGGGCAAAGCCAGGCCCGGGCAATTTTGGCGGCATGAAGGGAGGAGCAGCAGGTCCAAGAGTTTGGGGGGAATGAAGGCGACACAAAGAGTAGTGGAAGGTGCTGTCTTGTATGGTGTTTTGCGATGATTTTATCATGTGTACATACTCCTCTCAAGCTTCTCTTCTCTACATCAATGATGTGATGTGCCCATTTGAAAGAACAGAGGTCACATGACAACCATTGGATTCCACTACCATTATTCAGAATGTAAATTAGTTGTAATACCATGCTATGGCTAGATACATTGAAGGCATACACATTGTAGACTGAGATTACTACTTCATTGTGCTCCATGCTGCACAGAGCAGATATCGAGTAAAGATGATCTGGAAATCCGGAGGACAGAGTACAAGCGTGCAGGAAGAGCGTGTTGGGGGGGGGTAAGGGGGTGGAGACGAACAAGGGCAAGCAGGTGGGGAGACAAAGCGTAAGGGGTGAAAAACTCAGAGAAAGGAGGGTGATAACATAGGAAACAACGGGGGAAGGAGGGTTAGGGGAGAACTGTGGGCAAGACGCAATCGAAGAGAAAGCATGCAAAGGAGAAGCAGGGACGCTAATGAAGGGAAAGAGAGGGAGAAACGAGGGGAAGCAGAGGGCGAAAAGATGAGAAGAGAGGCAATGAGAGGGAGCAGGGGAGGTGATGAGAGGGAGCACGGGAGGTGATGAGAGGGAGCAGGGGAGGTGATGAGAGGGAGCAGGGGAGGTGATGAGAGGGAGCAGGGGAGGTGATGAGAGGGAGCAGGGGAGGTGATGAGAGGGAGCAGGGGAGGTGATGAGAGGGAGCAGGGGAGGTGATGAGAGGGAGCAGGGGAGGTAATGAGAGGGAGCAGGGGAGGTGATGAGAGGGAGCAGGGGAGGTAATGAGAGGGAGCAGGGGAGGTGATGAGAGGGAGCAGGGGAGGTCATGAGAGGGAGCAAGGGAGGTAATGAGAGGGAGCAGGGGAGGTGATGAGAGGGAGCAGGGGAGGTAATGAGAGGGAGCAGGGGAGGTGATGAGAGGGAGCAGGGGAGGTAATGAGAGGGAGCAGGGGAGGTAATGAGAGGGAGCAGGGGAGGTGATGAGAGGGAGCAGGAATGAGAGGGAGCAGGGGAGGTGATGAGAGGGAGCAGGGGAGGTGATGAGAGGGAGCAGGGGAGGTAATGAGAGGGAGCAGGGGAGGTAATGAGAGGGAGCAGGGGAGGTGATGAGAGGGAGCAGGGGAGGTAATGAGAGGGAGCAGGGGAGGTGATGACAGGGAGCAGTGGGGGAAAGGGGAGGGAAATCAGGGGATGGAGAGGGGGAACGAGGGGAAGCAGGGGGGGAAATGATGGGATGGAGAGGGGGGAACGAGGGGGAGCCGAGGGGGAAACAAGGGGTAGGAGTTGGGGGAACAGGGGGGATCAGAAGGGAAAATGATGGGAAGGAGAGGGGGGAACAAGGGGAAGCAGAGGGAGAAATAAGGGGAAGGAGAGGGGGGAACGAGGGGGAGCAGAGGGGGGAAGGAGAGGGCGGAACGAGGGGGAGCAGAGGGGGAAACAAGGGGAAGGAGAGGGGGGAACGAGGGGGAGCAGAGGGGGAAACAAGGGGAAGGAGAGGGGGGAACGAGGGGGAGCAGAGGGGGAAACAAGGGGAAGGAGAGGGGGGAACGAGGGGGACAGAGCAGCAGGTAAGGCCAGCAGAGGGTGAGCGTGAAGCCGGTGACGTGCTAAGAGAGGCGCGCTATGGGTTACACGAGAAGCACTCGCCTGCATAAAACTTGAGAGGAATCGCAGTGCGTGAACGGTGAGGCGCTATGCGGTGTGGCGCTTGGCGATCGCGCGCTTTTCTGTGAGGCGCTTAGCGGTGGGGCGCGCAGCGGGGCATTAGGCAAGTCGCGGGTGACGCGCTAAGAGGGTGTCGCGAGCTGCGGGTTCGGCGATCGAGCTGCAGGTTTCGCAAGAATATGGCCAGCGAGGAGCACGCATGGAATGCGGCGCGCCTCTTCGAAGGCTATTACTACATCGCGCGCGAGGCCTTAGAACGAGTCTATTCACGAGAGAAGAAGGTGTTTGTAGAAATGCTTATTCAATCATCTCGCGAGCCAGCCTTGTGACACGTGTTCCCTTACCAACAGCGAGTTTCTTAGTGGTACCGCTACTCCTCGGTCCCCTTAGTCGCCTTTTATATTGCCTGTGGGAAGGCATTTCCTAGAAATTAATCGCTTATCCTTCAGTTATGAGTGTCACCCCAGGTGGTGGGTGATGGGAGAGTTCCTCGTGTTCGCAACTAACAGCCTCCCAAACTTTCGCCTACCCTCTCGCCAAGCCTGTTCGTTTTCGTCGGGGTTTGCTTTTGGTGGGTACTGTTCCAAAACCAACAGTACTTTCAAATGTATACTGCTGCTTTAAGGTTGAATGTCAGCAGAAGCACTGTAAACGGTAGCCAGTTGATTTGGCATTATATTTTGAAGGGACGTACCGGTACTCCTAATATGAAGTAACCTAATAAATATACGGTAACTTCACCTGCCATTATCTCCGATACTCAGATTATGCCTGAGCGCGTTCTCAGGTGTAATCACCAACAGAAACACAGTTTTCCGATATAGTGTAAAGCTATTCTGGCTGTTCTTTGTATAAAGTCACTCAGAAAAGGAATTCTAGCACTTGCAAAAAAATATATATATAATGCCCGTAGCGAGCCTATATGATTTCCGGGAAGGATCAACCCTAAATACCGAAAGCCTCCCAATATTTTGGAAAAACATATTGCAACTCACTTGACAAAAAAAATAATACCCACCTCGGAAAGGGATGCGACTCGGGAGGCATCAACCCTAAAAACAATGCCCATTCCCGTGTTTAGGGTTGACTCATCTCGAAAATGCATCCAGGTTCCCTAAGGGTTTTATTTTTTTCTGCCATGCCCGAATTGGTCTCGGTAGCGTCGTCTAGTGCTTTCGGTAGCGTTGTTTAGTGGTCGGTTGCGCTACTGAGCACTAACAAGTGAATTATATGGGCTTCATTTTCTTACTACCTTAATTTCTGTACATATATCCAAGTCGGGAGAGTAAACTGGATGGTTTTGTTTTTGTCACTTCCTAATGAGTTCGACCAGCGTGAGAAATGTGACTAAAAAGCGACGACCAATCAACGCTCAGGAAAAATCTGAGTATCGGAGATAATGGCCGTAACTTCACCCCAAAAAAATCCAGCCTCTTGCCACTGTAATGACAGCGCCTCGTGAATGTGTGGTAGTGCGTTCCACTGTGACGGTCCTTGACGTTTTTGTCACGTATTGCCTGCTTGGTTGGAAGTCGCTAACAGCTTGGCCCCGCGACTTGGGAGCTCGAGTTGGATTGGATGGGCGAGTGTGACTGGGCTGCAGGCTGATGCAGCAGCTGTCTGTCCAACAACCAATCCCTCCTACCCCCCTCCTACCCCCCTCCTACCCCACCCAAACCTTCCTACCCCACCCAACCCTTCCTACCCCTTCCCCACACCCTTCCAGCTCCAGCTGAACCGCATCAGCAAAGCAACCTCAAGTTACGGAACTGTGTTTCTCGCATCCAGCCACTCCAGTGTGGAATTTTCTCCTAGTGCGCGCAGCAAAGCTCTATTTGCCAGTCAAGCAGGCTATGGGAACATGACGTTTTAATTTATGTTCCCATAGCCGTTTTGTTCAGCACATGCATCATGAGGTGCTTCTCGCGTTGGGGAACACGACAATGGTTTGGCTGTTTGGCCGCGTTCCTAGTTATTGCAACTAAACTTATCACCCTCTCATCCGGCAGCCGACCAATTCTCGAAACAGCATCGCAAGCGTCATATCGGGAAGAGCTGAAGGATGCGATCGCCGCGCTGCTGCAAATCCATGGCTTCTCTAAATACGCCCTCGAAACGCTAGCCCCCGCATGTGCGTTTACACACGTCGTGTTAAGTTTCCTGCTGTTGAGGCTTATCCAACTGTCATTCAGACTTGCTCTATCCTAACCTTTTCCCCTCCGTCCTTTTCCTTGATTCCGTGTGTCCAGTGTCCACAGGCCCCAACAATCTCTTCCGTCAGAATCTCACCATTCTTGCTCCCAGCACGGATGCCCTTGTGCGCGTTAACGATGATGCCTTTAACGCGCACGACAGCGTCCGGATTTCTGAGTTCACGGTACTCGCGACTCGCATGACATATAGTGAAATTTTGGCCCACCCAGATGACCAGCTGTTAAGATTAGGAGATTATGCAGTACTTAGGTTTAGGAGAGGTTTAACAAGGAGAATCATGGAGGGAGAAGTTTGGCCAAAAGAGGGACTTTCATTATGAAGTTGGGAGTACAAATAGGAAGGAGAGGAAGGGGAAAAGGGTACACCACCAGCAGTTGAACCTAATATATAACTAATACACTAGCAAGCTGTAGGCAGTTATAACAGGATATGCAAATATAATTCAACACCAGTCGCTTCCTACACTAGAAGGTTCACCTTTAACAAAGGTGACTGTAATGAAGGCGGACGGAACGACTGATTATGTGGTGTTTGTCCAACCAGAAGGCGCTGTGGCAGCAGGGCCGCGTGCAGCATTAGTTGCTTCTGACGTGTACCTAGGCCCCACACTTGCCATCCATGGCATTGATAGCGTGCTGTTCCCTCCACGACAGAGGTAAATATAGGAGTAATTGAATTCCTTGCAGGAAATAGAAAGGCCATGTAGGCCATGGTTAATATATACACGTGTATGATGCTAGTGGTGTTTGCCGTGAGATGGCCGATGGAAATAAAAACAGCAACTCGTGGTGCTTGAAACGAGTTAGGGGCAATGCTTCCAGAAGCCCACAAGCATCGACGGACTACTCACATTGCGACACGTGCTTCTCCATTGGAAAACGAAACGCTTGTTACCAGACACGAGAGCATTGAGCGAGAAAAAATCGCAACATCTGCCTGTTGCCTTCATGATACCCAAAACACTTCCTACCCCGCCGCCAATTTTGCTGCCTTCTTCCCAACCATTATCCCAAGACGAACCATAAGTTGCTATCTAAAGCGCTGAATCTGATCGCCCATGTTTGCCGCAGTAGTTCCTGTTGCTGCTTCTAGCGCATCGTTGCTTGTCCCTTCGATACAAACCAGGGAATTAATCCGCTTGCCGTTGTCGCTAGGCGTTCCAGCAGCAACACCGCGCTTTGTTGGCTCCTCTCTGCGGCGATTGCACTCGAATCCGCACATCGCGGAGAGCCAATCACCCCGTCACCAACCGCTGCAGGTGGTTATGGGTAGAACGTCGTAGGATTTAGTTCTTGGAGATACTTATTTCCTACATGGACTACGAGATAGGCCGTCACCACTCATGTTTTTTTTTATACCCAATGGGCAAGAGATTTATCGATATAACCGCAATCCGTTTCGTCAACAATCATGCGTGAATTCACCTTCCACATCCTCATCGGAACTCTATTTTCTGCCGCCTCTCTTTTATCCCACCTTGACTCATCCCTCTCGATTCCCGTTTCTGACTTTCCGCTCATATTTCGTTTCCCTTCCCCGTCGCCTGCGCGGACCTGCTATTCCGCGCAGACCCGCGCCGAATCCCGAACCCCCGGGCCCTTGCTACGCGCTCTCGGGCGATTTTTTCCCGCCGGCGGCGCAGCAGCAGCGGTGGGTGCGGGCATGGAGAACGCGTGGGCGGGCGAAGGGCGATCGGCGGTGGCGGTGGTAACTGGGGCGAATAAGGGTATCGGGTTTTACATTGCACGGGGATTGGCTGGCGAAGGGCTGACTACAGTGCTCACCGCCCCGCGACCCGGGACTGGGGCAGGAAGCTGCGAAGAAGCTTCAAGGGGAGGGGCTGCAGGGGGTGGAGTTTCATCAGCTGGATATCAGCGACCAATCGTCGATCGACAGCTTTGCACGGTGCAATGATCACTCAATTTCTCGTCTTGCAAGCAACTGATCGCCATGTTGTTGTGTCTGTGCATCATGCATCATTGCGTTTATCACTTCACACCTTTGCTAAGATGGTCAATTTGTCCAGATGCAATTACCACCTGTTTGCGCCCGCAACTGGGCTCAAATGTTGAAATGTCACTATCGCTTATCCACCTCTGCTACCGCAGATGGCTCAAGGATACGCATGGGGGCCTGGACGTGCTTGTAAACAATGCCGGGATGGCTTATAAGGGGAACACGTTCGGGGCAGAGGAGGCAAGAAAGACCATTGACACCAACTACCAAGGCACTCGGGCCGTGTGTGAGGCGCTACTGCCACTGCTGCGCCCCTCCAAAGGTGAGTTGGTAGCAGCTGCAGAAACATCACTGCTGCGCCCCTGCAAACGTGAGTTGGTGGGTGTGTTCATGCAGACTACGATATTCCACGCCAGCAGGACCAAAGCCACCAACTACCAAGGCACTCGGGCCGTGTGTGAGGCGCTGCTGCCTCTGCTGTGCCCCTCCAAAAGGTAATTCTGCCATGCCAGATGTGACCATCCACATGTGAGTCAGTAGCAGCCGCTTTTGCCTCCCTCTTCTGTCTGCTGCCTCTTTTCCCTTCCTTTCACTTATCAACTAAAATTCCCTTGCTATTAGCCCTTAACCCCTCTCTCCCGTTCTCTCCCTCTCGCCCTCTTGCGCTCTCGATCACCAGCGGGGGCGCGCATAGTGAATGTGGGCTCCAGTGCAGGGAAGCTCCGCATTGTCTCCCCCGCCCTCAAGGTAACCTGCCCCTTTTCCTCCATGAACTTTGGATATTCATCACTCTCACCTCACTGACTCTCACTGACTCTCACTGACTCTTGTCCTGTTAACTCGTTTCCATCTCATTCCCCTTTGTCCATTCTCGAGGCTCTCTAGCACCCACCATTTTTGTCTTCTTCTCATGCCCCTTCCATTGTCTCACCTCAGACACGATGCACCAGCCCGACCCTCACAACTGCTGACCTGGATGCACTGGCGGAGGAGTTTGTAACGGGGATAAAGGAGGGCACTTATAAGGGAGCAGGGTGGCCCGAGTCGATGTATGGTGTGTCGAAGCTCCTAGAGAACGCCTACACGCGCGTGCTCGCGAGACAGGTGGAGGGGCGGCAGGGAGGCGAAAAGTGAGTTCGTTTGGATGGGGAGGTTGGGAAGGCAGCGCATAGATGTGTGTAGGTTGATGTCGAGTTTTGCCTCGTATAGGTTCATATGCTACTCCCCCCATGCCGTGCCCACTCCCTGTGCCTCTCCCTGTGCTCCAGGGTGTTTGTGAATGCGTGCTGTCCCGGGTGGTGTGCCACAGACATGTCGTCGTGGCGCGGCCGCAAGACAGCCGAGGAGGGAGCCAACACGCCCATCTTCCTGTCGCTGTTGCCGCCCGAGAAGGCGGGTACAGGGCAGTTCTATGCAGACAGGACGATCGAGGAGTTTTAGCAGGTGTTGTAGGGCTCTCGTTATCAGACCAATTTGGTCTGATGGTCTGATTTTCAAACCTTCATTTTTCCTTTCATCTGAACCATAAGACAGTGCTTTTTATTTCGTCTGATCCATAAGAGAAAGGATTTTAGTTCGTCTGAATTATCAGAGCAGGCGTTATACTTCGTCCGAAATTTCAGATAGCGAGTTTCGTTTCATCTGATACCGACAATTCTGCCCACGTAGCCATAGGTTGTCAGTTCTGGCAGGCACCTTTGGTGGCTGTAATTGCACGTGTAGTAATTTGCGTCGCCTCACTGGCCGAATTTTGTAGTGTACTGTACCAGCACAAAGCCCGCCTCGTACCAGCCCAACCAAGTCCCTTTCGCCTCTACCAGCCCAGCCAAGCCACCACCCCCCCCCCCCCTACCGCCCCCCACGTCCGCCAGCCAAGCGCGTAAGTCCCCCTTGCCTCTACCAGCCTAGCCACCCTACCAACTCCAGCCCAGCACTTCACCCAACTCCCTCGCACTGTCGCAAATCTTCCAGCAGAGTCCCCCCCCCCCCCCCAACTCTCACATACCTTCCCAGCCCAACCCTTCCCCCACATTGGCCGCTCTTACCCTAGTCCAGCCCCACTCCCCTCTCGAGCCCCACGCCTCACAGTCCTGTCCACTAACGTGCAGTCTAATGCACCGCTGCTGCGTCATCAAGATGCAAGTTGCAACATCAGACGCGGAAAAAAAATTCGCCTGAGATTTCAGACATGCAATAGAATTTCGTCTGAAATGACAGACACGCGAAAATTTCCCGTCCGAACGTCAGACGAAACGGATTTTTGGGTTTAGGTTTTCAGACAGGCCAAAATCCTAGCGAGAGCCCTTGTACCGTGCATTGTAATGCCATGCAAGGGGGTTTGTTTGATGCATAAGCAGGGTGCGTGCAGGGAAGGCAGACACGCCCATGTTCCTCTCGCTCATCCCTCCTGAGAAGGGGGGTGCAGGGCAGTTGTATGCTGATTGGATGAGAGGATTTCTGAAGGATCTCTTGGTTGGTGCCTTTTGGAAAACAAAGAATGGTAAGCAAGTAGCGTGAAGCTGTCTCAATTCATCCTCGGTGCTACCGGTACTCCTATCAAATAATGCTGCTGCTATCTTATGCTGACCAGAGGATGATTCTGATGCCACATGCATGAGGTGTCAACCAGTGAAAACCATGAACGACTGGATCAGGCCCTCAGATTGGTTTCAGGGTATGCTGATCGATCAGTGTGCAGTGTCCAAAGTGGTGTCCAAATCAGCCTTGGGGGTAAAATTTAAGCTGATTGGTTTCAGTTGTTGGTGTAGTTGTTTGGGTTGTGTCTTGAAATCGCGAAGATTTCGGGTTCGATTCCCGCAGGCGGGAACCCACCGGAGAGGGCCGCGAACTCTTTTTGCGGGAATCCTGGTTTGAACACCCCCTGTACACCCATACCCTATCATGTCCGAATCAGTGTGACTCGGTACACTATACTGATTCGTCAGTGCTACTTGTACAGCAACATGCAAAATGGTCAGTGTGACAAAATAGGTTTACTGAAAATTCAGTGCAAAATTGAAGCATATGCTGAATTTCCAGGGAAAACGAAAATCTGAGCTACAAAATCAGCGTAATCAGCGTGTTTTACGCTGATATCTGAGGGCCTGGACTGGATGCAAGTGTCAGAGAGGTGTTTACGGCTTACCGTACTCCAAGCCTCAAGCATACCGGTAGTGTGTGAAGACTGGAGTAGGATGCATGCACTCATAGCAGAAACATCAGTGTACCGTACCGAGCCAGAAAAGGCTACATCCAGGCCTCTGGATAGGTTTGGAAGCACTCTTAGTCGAAAGGGCAGGCTGCCAAAGCTGGTCTTTCAGTAAGGGTGGGGCAGCCATGTCAGTCTTGTGTATCAGTGTTGGCTGCATTGTTACTCGTGCTTGTCAGTGTACTGTGGACCTCGGTTAGTTGTACCATTTTTTTTTAACCAACGCTTAATGTTTAGGTTGACATGACGTGCAAAGAACAATAAAATATATGACTAGAACTAGAACAACAACAGGACCTACATATGGGATGGTCTGGCCTGGTCTGGTTCCAGCAGAATACTCCCAGCAGGGAGCAGAGTAGCAAAATCAATACAAAAACTCCTGGGCAGGACGGCGCTTCTTGCTAGCATTGAACACGGCTACCACATTCACCCAGTTCAGACCATCACTGGGCAGGAGCGCTGCAGTCATCAGATCGCCCAGTTTGGCGTCGCCCAGGCAGGTCCGCTTCCACGTCTTGATACGGTTCTGGCGACTGAAGCCACGCTCGCACTCCACCGTGCTGAGGGGGAGCACAGCTACGGCCTGCCACAGCTGCACAAGGTTCGGGTACGCTCCCACGTAGTCAGTTGACTGGAGCATGAGCGAGAGCGACTTGTGGAAGCTCATGTTCCCGTGGTTGGTATCCATGGTGTGGAGAAACAACGGTAGCTCCCTCTCGCACGCCTTGAAGCACACACCTGCCAGGATGGGAGAGCAGAGCAATGAGAGGGGCGATCGGGGCGTATAGGAGGTGTTTAACAGCACACCAAGGTACACACACACACACAGCAGACAGCACATTGCAGGCACAACCAGGTGGCGTACCAAAGAGGCGGTGGTGAAACATGTGGTCTAGCATGCCCAACCACTCGCGGCACTTCTTCATCCGCTGCGCGTTGTCGTCGGGATAGCACGATGGCCGGAAAAACTTGGAGCCGGCCAGGTTCTTGAGGTCTTCTAGGCGGAACTCCAGTCGCGCAACGCAGACCCTCGCAAACTCCTGGCACACCACCTTGCAGGAATAGTAGTCCCCGCCAGTCTTATGGCCTGGGATCTTGCGCTCGTGAAGCACGAACTCGTGCTTTGCAGCTTCGCCGTTCTGGTCCACGCCTTGGACGGTGACTTCGCGGTGCTGGGGGTTGCCGTGTTCCTTCAGGAACGCGCAGAGCAGGGGCGACTGATCGTTGCCGAAACGATCCTCGCAGTCCACGTAACGCACCTCGATCGTCCGGCAAGCGAGTGACACCTCCCCCGCGACCACAGTGATGTCAACCTGTGAGTGGGCGTGGGATGAATAGTTGCTGCAAGAGGTTGATGTACAATGGGTCAGAACGGCGCACACCAACCGGGAACATGGCAGTGACACAAACGCCTATATGTACAACCAAAACACTCCACATGTCACCTGCTGCTTCTGGAACTTGGCGTTGAGCTCGTTGAGCACGGCAAGAATGTCTGCAAGGAAGAAAAGCATGAAGTGGAATTTGAAAGAGGTGACCGTTTCGTATAGCGCGTGCTTGAAATCGTGCAGCAGGACGATTATCGCCGGCAGAACCTTGGCAAACCGCTTGACTGCCTCTCCTCTAGAGAGCCATCGCACGTCGTGGATCCCCTGCAGCTCCATGTTGGTTTCGCAGATGTACTCCTGAAGGTGCTCGAATCGCCGGTGCCAGTTGCTCGACCTAGAAAGCTGCTCCGCCACGTTGCGCACCGCCTGGTCTATAATGTTGAACTCCGTCACCTTCTCAGCGGCATCCTTCGCGACCAACGCCTCCCTGCTCAAGGTAGAACGGAGGAAACGAGCGATTGAAGTGAGTGGGCAGTACATGATCAACACACACCTGCCATAAAGCCAGTAACAATGACGGACTTACCGATGTGCGATGCAGTGGCACGACAGGAGATAGGGATTCCGCTGCCGGAGTCGTGCCACAACACCATTGCTGGTGCCCGTCATTACTCTGGCGCCGTCGGTGCTGATTCCAACAATCTTGGACAAGTCCATGCCCACGGCGTCAAGGTGGGTCAGTAGCACGTCGACTAGACTTGCCGCGTCACACTTGTCAACTGTCAGCAACGTGAGGAACTCGCAGACGCTCGCTCCCTCCTTCATGAAGTGGACGTAGACGATCATGTGCTTGCCGCGCGCCTTGTCAGTACTCTCATCGAGCTGAATGGAGATGTACGGGCTCGCCTCGATCTGCTTCAGTTGCTCTTGCCACATGTACTTCGCTGCAGCTTCTAGCAGCTCCCCGAAACCGTACCTGTATGATACAAGCACAGAGGTTAGCACGTGATCAATCAAGACAGTTGTAACGGAACCAGTACAACGACACCAAGTACCCCGAAACTTACTCCGAAAAGTAGTTTCCCTTGGAATCCAAGGGAAGGTTCGGGACTCCGAGCTCGGCCATGAACTTGATGGTGCCCACGTAGGAGGTGATTGGCACCTCCGACTTGCAGATGTACACGGTAGTCTTGAGAGCAGTGATGATGTGAAGAGTGCTGCGATCCAACCCCTCGAACTCGCTCAGCAGCGTTTGACGAAGCTTTCGGCTCTCCTTCGACTTCATCTCGGCGTGTGCGTCCTGGTGTGCGGTGGAGCGGTGGTGCGTCCGGATGCTCCCCTTCTGCATGTCACGCCCTCCACTGCCTCCCTTGCCATAAGCCGTTTTCACGCCTTCAGCTCCATGTTCCAAGCACGTGCTGCATCTCAAAATGGGGAAGCCAACGTCATCACGGAAACAAAGACTCCCATGAAGTCTTAAACCGCTTATGCGCTTTAGCGAAAGCGACCTCGGGGTAACGGGCCATCTCTTCGACAGTTGGCAGGCCGTCTTCTTCCTCCTCGTCATCACTTCCCTCGTCCTCCACTCGTCGGATTGGACGTGCCGCCCGCTTCACAGAGGGCTTCGGTTGTCGCCACCACTGCGTAGCACTGCCACCGCTTGACTCTTTGCGCTTCTTGTTCGCAAAGTCGCCAGCCGCATCGCCTATCTCCGTTTCAGGAGCCGTCGCTTCTGGAGGTGAGGGTTCTGCCGTGGTAGTGCAAACTTCAGGTGAGCGCAGGTCAGGCCCTGAATCATCTGCGCGGGTTTCGTCCTCGGTTGAAGCAACTACGGGCTCCGGATCTGACAGCTTCTTAGCGGGGGTTCGTAGAAAGCTGAGGCCCGTTCGCGGGGGTGATTTTTGGAGTTCACGGCATGCCTCGTCGTCACCATCGGTGGTTTCGTCAGCAGCCATGGCGAGGGCCAGAGGGGTGGTTGCAGGAGCTGGGCCTACGCTAGCTGTTGGGAGAGCGTGGTGGTGGGGTGGTGTGCAAAGCAAACCCTAGACCAGACGAGATAGCGAGGAGGCAGAATTGAGAAATGAGACGAGGAGGACTGGGTTGGGTGCGTGGGAGAGACTGGTCGGTGGGTGGGGGCCTGCTGGGGAGGGAAGAAGAAGCTTCCATGCTGGACACACCTCCTGCACGAAGCAGGTGTGTGTGGCGCTGCGCGGCATTGCCAGCTAGGAAGATTGCAGGTGAGCCAGGTATAGTTGACGAGCCTGTGGCAGTGGCGACGCGAGCCGTCAAGGCGACGCGCACATCTGCTGACTCAAGCAAAACGCCGCTAATCACGGCCCAAATCTCGTCAGTACCCCCCCCCCCCCCCCCCCCCGCCGCGTGAAATCGCATCAGGGTGGTACGCGACACTAGTCTTTGTCATCAGGGCGAGTACACCAGGCCTGTCTTAAAAATCAGTGTTAACAAAATGAACACTTTTTCGGCTAAGGGTGCCTCAGAAAACAAGTTTTAAAAACAAGGGTGATCACCTAAACCCACCCTTATAGTAAGGGCCATAAGGGTGTTTTACCCTGATATCGAGAGGCCTGGCTACATCATAAACTTCATTGACAGCCTCATCTGCAGAGGAGGTACCGCTAAGGCCTGGTGCAAGCAGCAATGCACACAGCTCCCCACCAGCAGTGTTCAGGGTAAAGAATCAACAGTTGGACAGCCCCAGAGAGTCAAATGCAACTGGTCCTTACATGTACACGCATTTCTCTCAGTTGGGCGGGTACCAACTACTCAATCAGCAGTAGCAGATAAAGAGACAAGGGAGGAAGGTGGGGAGATGTGGAGGTCTCCTGAGTGGTGTGGGAGAGTCACCAGGCTGACTAGGCTTTGATACAATTCTGTGGATCTTTTGGATCCACCTGGTAACCAGGATTACACGAACACGTGATCACTGCATGCGGTCCGACGGTGGCTGGGTCGTAGATGCAAACACCTGCGCCTCCGCACTGCCCCTCTTTGCTCCCTGTCCCGCAGAATTTCGCACATGTTTCATCCTTTCGCTGCTCCACCGCTTTGCACCCTGGCGAAGAAACCAAGCAGTTACCCGAAACTGTAATCTGCTCCGAATAGTCCTTGGACGGGCAGACCCAAGTGGGTTTCGGAAAATTTTCCGAACCGGGCATTTGCATGACCATATCCGCTCTCCCTTCGAAATAGTTCGCGCTCAGATCGATAAAAACCTCGAAGCGGTAACACGAAACGCTGTCCACATCGGGGTTTTCGCACTCCTTTCCGAGCCCGGTGAACCGCGGCAAAGGCCCCGTCAACGCGTTATACGACAGCTGCAAACCCCGCAGCGACTGCCCGAACGAAGAGAACGACGCTGGCAAGTGACCGATGAACCAGTTGTGGCTCAAGTCGAGGTTTACGACAGCGGGCAGCTTGCCAATAAATTCCGGAATCTCCCCCGACAGCCGGTTGTGGCTAAGCGTGAGAACCTCGAGCGCGAGTTTATCTGCCAGAGTCGGAGGAACGGATCCCGTGAACCAGTTTCTGGAGAGATCAATGACCGAGATTTCTGAAGCGCTGCCCAGGCTTGACGGGATCGGACCGGTGAACTTGTTCCCACAAAGCGTTAGGGAGTGTAGCTGCGTGGCGTTTTCGAAAGTGTTGTCGGGAATTTCCCCCACAAAACTGTTGTCGTCCAACCGCAAAAGCATCAACGGGGAATTGGCCTGCGTTAAAATATCGTTCCAGGGAAAGTTCCCCTCCAAGCTGTTTCCGTTGAGAAGAATCTCGGTAAGTAGTGGGAGGCTAGCGAACACTCCAGCTGGTACCGAACCGCTTAAGTTATTTCCGCCGAGATCAAGAGCGGTGAGCAACGTCAGCTGCGACAGCTCCAACGGAAGCGGCCCGCTCACACTGCTTTCTGGCAGCTCCAGCGACACCACATCCCCGTTAATGTCAATACCAACTCCCCGCCACAGGTCGCCAGGTCCCAGCCCTCCGCTACCCATGCCCATGTTGCCAAATCCCATGCCGAGCTCGCCTACACCCATGCTCTTTTCTTTCTTGGCCGCTGCCTGCGATAAACCAGGTCCTGATGGACTAGCCTCGGATGGCCTAGCCTCGGATGGACTAGCCTCGGATGGACTAGCCTCGGATGGACTAGCCTCGGATGGACTAGCCTCGGATGGACTAGCCTTGGATGGACTAGCCTCAGATGGAAGACTAGCCTCGGGCGATGGAGCAGGGGCGTCGCTGCGGCTGACCCATGTATCCGCGCCGAAGAAGTCGCCTCCCCAAGCCGCCTTTATCGCGAGCAGCGCCTGCTGCGCCGCGGCATTCGGGAGGTCGGTTGGCTCGCCGGCGTTTGTCGAGGCGCCGTTCTGCCCTTTCTGCGAGTCAAGGTAGTCAAACAGGTCTGTGTAGTCTGGGTTCTCGCTGGAGGCTAGGAGCTTGCGACTGTGAGAGGCTTCGACACAGTGTGCAGAGAGGAGAAGCGCGAGGAGAACGCACGAGAAAACGGCACTGAGGGTTCTCATGGTGCATCTATCCAATCGTGCAAGTGGTCCTATCTGGGGTTGTACCTCTGAGAGAGCAAAAAAGGCCTGCAATATACGTGATCTAAAACGATGGCGAAGAATGTGATTGTCAGCTCCAAGTGTCTGGGCACAAGAGGCCATCCGCTTCAGCTCCCTAGTACCTACGCCGCCATGCTTCAGGAAAAGAGTTGTCCTCCTAGTGTTGGTTAGGCTAGGCCAGGACTGTCAGCTAGGTGGAGAGCAGCAGTTGTGTTGAGGGGGGTGGTGGATATGTTTATTAGCCAGGCGGTTTTTCCACCATGCGACACGTCGTAGACCATTGTTTGTAGGCTGGCTTTGCGACTGGATTATGTAGAACATGCGAGGGAGGTTACACTAACGACGAAACTTGAATTCTTCCTGCGACCTTCTACGACATTCGCTTGAAGTCTCGTTGGGCAGCAGCACATCCAGCAGGTCGCAGATGGGTGATAATCGATGACGTGGTTGTCGCTTGTGCGATGTGCTGGGAATTGGAAACTGAAAACACCTGCGCCCGACTGATGATATACAGGTGAATCTTCAGAGCAGACTTCAAATTTTGTCGGTGTGCACCCTATTCGTTAGTATATTAATACAGGGTGAGCTTCATCATTTGTTGCTGGTTAAAGAAAGGTAATGTGCATCAGGAAACAAAACAATGCTTCTCACAACAGCTGTACAAGCTGCAGAATTGGGAATTCGCATTAATGAAAAAATCGTCCGTTGTTACAATGAATACGCATTATGTCCAAGGTCCATCTTATGTCCTAACATTTTTCAACCAGGTTATGAGTATAATTTGGGATGGGAACACGCTACTGGGCTTATTGATCTGCCATTAAGGTGGGGTTAAGGTACCTTATTGAATATGCAACTGAAGAGATAGCACCATACTTCAAAGAGGTGTACTCTTTACGCTGTGCTGTGTCAGCACCACGTCACCTGTCTAACACCCAGGGTCCGTGTCAAGATCGGAGTGATGAGGAAGGAAACTGTAAATGTCGGACAGCTGGACGGTCAGATCTGTGTGTCCAGCGCCCCTCGATTCGTAACGCCGCCCTTTTCGTGGCGCACATTGCTGCAGAAGCCCCCGTTTCGAATCGCACAGGTGCCGCCGCCCCCCATTCCGAACCGCACAGGCGCCAGCCTCCTCCAATCACCTTCAAAGGCTAGACTGGTGGTGAGGGGGCGAAAACATGCGGACCTGAATGAGAAGGGCGGAGAAGGGTAAGGGGTGGTTGGAAAAGATTGAGGTAATAAGTGGGTCGGAATAGTAGTGAGTATAGTACACGAGGGGGGGAAACTAGTCTAGATGCGCCCGTCGTGACATTTGACAAGCGCACCTGTCCCCTCCCTCCAACCCACCTGTTTTCCGCACTAGCTCGTCATTTTCCAAGAGCCCCACCCCAAGCCCCCACCCACCCCAGGACAGGCGCAAATCTAGAAATTTCTGCCTTTTGGTTTGCGACAACTTGACTTTGAGCAATCACGCTTTTTCGCGCCATCTCTCAACGACAACCCCGTCCCGTCCCGTCCCGTCCCGTCCGCACATACATATGTGCTCGCCTAATCTTCCGTCTACGCTTCAGGCTCCATACCGTAATCGGCAGTCTTGTCAAACTTCATCGAAATTTATAGCCAGCGTTACACGACAACGTCTTATGTACGCGCGAGTAGTTTCCGCAACCATAGTCAAACACGACTCGCATGCAACTCTTAATCCTCTGCCATTCCTCTCATTAATTGCAACTCCTTTCGGGAATGGCGGAATCACACGCGCTTCCGGGTGCCTCGCTGCCCCTCGCGGAGCTCTGGGACTACGATGACGTGGCAGTCGAGGTGCTTCGCTGCCTCCCGCCTCGCTGTCTTTGTCGATCCGCGGCGGTATCGCGACGGTGGCGCAGTCTAGCAGGTATTCAACGATTGATCGTCTATGTTTGATGTTTTGCTGCGTGCCTTCTCTTTGATCACTTATTAGCTGAGAACTCTCAAAAACACCCTGTCTCGTCCGCGTCTTTCTTGAGTGCATTCCCTCTCAATCACGCCCCTCCTGCGCTTCTCCGCGCTTGTATTGCCCACCTCACGCCTTCCCCGCCCCTCCTCCCCAATGCCTCTCGCTGGACGCCCGCGCTCTTTTCCGCGCGCCTGCAATTCTCTCCGCGCGCTTTGCTTTTGCGCACATCTGTTCCCCCGTATCTCTCCGCACCCGCCTATCCGCACCCAGCTTCCGATACGCTCTGGTCGGAAAAAGTCGCGCAGGTGCTATCGCTCCCCGCAACCGCCGCAAAGTCCGCACTCCCGCTAAAGTCACACTCCTCAAAGGCAGCATCAGCAGCTCAATGGGCTTCCCCCGAAACGCCGCAACCGCCGCCACACGCCGCTCAACAGCGTGGGGCGACTGAAAGTGAAGCGCAGCGGGTTTACGCAGATACTGGTGTTTGCTTTGCTAGCAACGTCGCGCCGTTGCTGCCGTTCTCCCCGGTGTTACTGGCTCCGCCAGTAGCGCCCTCGCCAGGATCTGCCTCCCCCGGTCGGCCCTCCCCCGCGCTGCACCACCTGATTTCTGGCTCCCCGCAGAACGGCTACAATCGCGTACGGCGCCACTGCAGGCACCACCTCCGCACGGATGATAAAAAAAGCAGCTGCGCCCGTAACACCAATAATCCTACTAGCGGTAGTGGTTGTTGTCATGGAAAGAATTTGGTCTTGCCACGACTCGGCATGAGGCACGGAGAGGAGCAAGAGCAGCACAGGCACAGCCACCTTCCCCTGATTGTCCCGAAAGGTTCCTGGAAGGAGGTCTACCGCGGGCTCGTGGAGCTGGATCGCGAGTGGAAGGTTCCTCCGCAGCTTCCTCTGCAGGCGGTGGGGAGCTCGAGCGAGGAGGAGGGGTGGGGCGCCGAGTGGACTCTCCGAGACGACTTCTTCTGGTTCAGTCAGGTGCGGTGGGATGCGGTTTAGCCGATTGCGTTGGGGTGCAGTTTAGTCAGGTGTGGTAGAGTCTGGTTTGTCTAGGTGAGTGCAGACTAGACATGCTTGAGGTGGTGAGTAATAATTTCAATCGCTCCCTGCAGCCTTTTACTGCTCTTCCTTCTCCCACATCCCTTACTTCTTCCTTCTCTCCTCTCTCCTCCAACTCCCATTCCTTCGCCTTCCCCGCCTTTTCCCCCATTTTCCTCCCCTTCCTGCATCCCACTCTCCCTTCCCCCTCCCCATTCCGTCCCCCCGCCCCCCTCCCCCGCATGCGCAACCATTCCCCCCCCTACCGGAGGCGGGAGTCGCTCACGTTCCGCCTGGACCTGCCGCTGTGTCTCGTCACGACTTATGAGACCTCTCAATAGTCTTCACCCTTTCCCTCTCCCCCCTTCCCCCTTCTTTCCCCCATGCGCAGCCATTCCCCCGGCTGCAGGAGGCGCGGGAGTCGCTCACCTTCCGCCTGGACCTGCCCCTGTGCCTCGTCACGGGGGTGGAGATCGTTTCCGGGCAGGATATCTGGAACGCCGTCTGCCCAAACTTCCTCCAGGTGACCGTTGCTCGCACACACCCCACTCACTGTTGCTCTTAAACCACCCCCCACTCCCAGGCCCCTCTCTCCCCGCCCAACCCCACCCCCCCCTCCTCTCCCTTCGAATACCTCTGCACGAGGTACCTTCACCATACCGCCCTTGCATCTGGTGCTCCCCTGTGCATGCTTTCAAATGCGCCCATTGTCCTCCACTCTCCTCCCACCCTCCATCTTCCCCTCTCCCACTTCCCGTCCCCGCATCCTCCCCTCCTCCTCCCCCAAATTCTTCCCGTGTCCCCCCTTTTCTCAGGTCGAAGTGGGGTTCTCCCCTTCCTCCTTCCCCTTCTCCTCCGCCTCCTTCCCGCTGTCCCCCGCGCCCATCTCCCACCTGCTCCGCCTCCCTCCATCCGCGCTCGCCCTGGGCAACCACGTGCGCCTGCTGCTCTCAGGCTCCCCCTGGGCGGAAGGTTGGGCGGAAGCCGGAGGGGAAGGCGGGGGGAAAGGCGGAGGGGGGGGCTATGACGGGGGATGGCGGGAAGGGGGTGCAGGAAGGGGGAGTAAAGGGAGGAGAAAGGGGGAGGAAGGGGAAGGTAAACGTGAAGGTACTTGCAATGATGGCTGCTTGAGTGGAGCTTGTGACAAGAGGGAGGGATGGGAGAAAGAGAAGGGAAAGGGGAAAGAGGAGGAAGAGGAAGGCAGTGAGGGTGGTTGGGGGGTGGACAGTGGTGGGAGCGACAGTGACAGCAGCGACGGTGATGCTGGTGATGGTAGTGATGGTGGTGGGGAGGGGTGCATGTGGGGGGGCGTGGAGAGCGAGTGGAGAGCACTGATGAGGCAGGCTCGAGGGCGACTGGCCAGACGCATTCACAGAACTCTTTCCTGCGAGAGCAGCAGCAGCAGCAACACTGGCAGCAGAAGCAGCAAGAGCAACATGAGCAGCAGCAGCAACAGGAGTGTGGAGCTTATAGATAGTCCCCCGTGTGATAGCCCTGGGGTTGGTCCCATGCACAACAGCAGCAGCACTGACAGTATCAGCAGCTTGGACTCTACCTCCTCCCTCTCCCTCCCCTCCCAATCCCCCATCCCCTCGTGCTCATCCTCACCCCTCCGCTCCCCTTCCTCCTCCTCCTCCCCCTCTCGCCCCTCTTCCCCCTCTCTCTCTTCCCCCTCCCTCCCTGCCTACCTCCTCGCCCAAACCGCCTCCACCAGCCCTCACCGCCCGGCATACATCCTCCCCCAGAACGCACCTCCTCCTCCGTCCCGCTTCTGCATAGAGCGAGTGCGCGTCTTCGGAATCCCCCTGGGTGCCCTTCCCCCTCAGAATGCCCTGCAGGGTGCTCTGGTGCGGTATGCGGTGGGGAGGGTTGGAGGGGAGTTGGATGCGGTGATGAGGAGTGCGGTGGGGCGGGGTGTGCAGGAGTTGGGGAGTGTGGAGACGGTGGTGAAGGCGCTGGGGGATAATCTGGTGAATGCGTTTCCCCTCCGCGAGTGATTTCTGGGGTGAATGCTTTGGCTTCTGGCAAGTAGTTTCTGGGTACACTCGGTTGGCTTGGTTGCCTTGGTTGACTTGGTTTGACCATCCATTGCCTTGAACAAAGCTCCTGGGAGAACCTGGTGTTCGCTCTTTCCTCCCACATACCGTATAATTCAGTCAGTTCGGTTGACTCAGTTGACCTGGTTCAACTGACCATGAGTTGCAACGATTTGCTTTGTGTTGACCTCGGTCGGAGGTTCTTCGTTTCCTGCATTGTGGGGACCTGTGTGTGACGCGAACAACTTATCAGAGGCCCCGTTTTTTCCTGATTACACAGCTGTGCTTTGCCTTTTAGTGCTAGGCCCCTCAGGCCTGGCAGCCCCTCAGATGTGCCTACCCTTTGCCTGTCTGCTTCTTCAGGCCAAGCTTTCTGGAGAAACAACCTGATTTTGCTCTGTTTGTTTCGAGGCGCCTGAATATGTGCCATGTTTGTGTGTGTGCGTAGGATGACAGCTTGGCAGGGAGTGTCTTTGATGCATCGAGGCAGCATAGTGAGCAAGACTTGGGGTTGATTACCTACGATCGTTGCCCATGCTCCTCCATTAGGCATGCTGCTCTGTAGGCCATGCTCCTCCGTTAGGCATGCTGCTCTGTGGGCCATGCTCCTCCGTTAGGCATGCTGCTCTGTGGGCCATGCTCCTCCGTTAGGCATGCTGCTGTGTAGGCCATGCTCCTCGGTTAGGCATGCTGCACTGTAGTGTCAGAGAGTAGACTTAGTAGTCTAGGGTTTGGGGTAAGAGAGAGTTCGCCAAAGAGGAGTGTTGCAATAACAAAGAGGGTGCAAGATAAAGGAAAGGGGAAGTGGTCAAGAGAGGTAGACCACCTAACGGAAAGATATGATGATACTACACTACTACGGTAGCTATGCATGTAATTATATAAGAATTTCATATTCTGACACCCCTCTTGATTGCATGCTAGTCTAGCTAGCGTAGGGGCTCATACCGAAGCACTGACGTCACCGTGCCTATAGCTGCTCTCACCGTCGGGTACGGTGGAATACCCGCTTGCGGGTGTACGCAATGAGGAACGACGGCGCCAAGATACGACGGACAGAGAATAGACAAGGATAACAGTACATGCAAATCTCTCTCTCTCTCTCGCTCTCTCTCTCTCTCTCTCTCTCTCTCTCTCTCTCTCTCTCTCTCTCTCTCTCTCTCTCTCTCTCTCTCTTTCTCTCTATTTCTCTCTCTCTCTCTCTCTCTCTCTCTCTCTCTCTCTCTTTCTCTCTCTCTCTCTCTCTCTCCTCCCTCTCTCTCTCTCTCTCTCTCTCTCTCTCTCTCTCTCTCTCTCTCTCTCTCTCTCTCTCTCTCTCTCTCTCTCTCTCTCTCTCTCTCTCTCTCTCTTATCCCCCCTTAACTCTCTCATCCTCTCTTAACCTCTCCCCCCCACCCCCACCCCCCCCCCCCCCCCTACAGCAACTAGTGCTGCAGGAAGAGAGGAAGAGGGAGGGGAGGGACGGGTTGCTGGCGGTTCACACTCGCCACCCCCACATCTCCCCCTCCCCCCCCCCCCCACGACGTTAGCTGCTGCCAGTGCTGGCGCTGGCGTTGGCGCAGGCGTGGGCACCGGCGCTGGCGCTGGGCGCAGACATTGGCGTTGGCGCTGGCGCTTACGTTCCGCGCTAGCGCTGGCGGCAGTCGCAGGCGCTGGCGGTCCGCGCTGGCGCTGGCGCTTACGACGAGCAGGGCGATGGGCGTGACGGGCACGACGAGCGGGGGACGAGACGGGCATGACGAGCAGAGCGTAGGGCGACGACGGAACGGGATGGGCAGGCGCTTCGGGCAAAGCGAGACGGACATGACGGGACGGGACGGGTTCGCGCCTCGGGCGTTACCGGTGACGCAAACAAATAGCGCATATCACGCTGCAGCTTGGGCGGGGCCATGTTCCTTGAAATAAAGTAGGTCCTAAGACCGTAGTAGCTCTGGTAGCATGTCAGAGAGTAGACTTAGTAGTCTGGGGTTTGGGGTAAGAGAGAGTTGGCCAAAGAGGAGTGTTGCAATAATGAGGATACAAGATAAAGGAAAGGGGAAGTGGTCAACGGATGTAGACCACCTAACGGAAAGATATGATGATACTACACTACTATCTATGCATGTAATTATATAAGAAATTCATATTCTGACACGTAGGCTGTTGGAGTACGAAAGGAATTAGGGTACATTCGTAGCCCGTGTCAGACATCAGGTCAGACCCGAAGTGGAGGCTCAGAAGACCCGAAGTGGCTCGTTCGTGAGGCAAAGTGAGTTCGGATGAGCCAAATTGGAGACTAAGGGCTTTTGACCTGAAGTCTGACACGGGCCACGAATGCACCCTTATACTTAACATTCCCGTAGGTGCAGCAGTGGCGGATCAGCCCGTATCAAGGGCAGGAAGGTCAACAGTCGCAAAAGTCAACTGTCGCGACTGTTAACTATCTAGACCGACGATTGACCTATCGTCGATGAATGGCAACAGGCGTAACCGTGCGTGCCGGTTACATGCAGCGACTCGGTAACAAGAAAGAAGTGCATAGTCAGAGTTACTGTGGAAATGCTTGCAAATCAGTTAGAATAAGGGAATGTATCCCTCAGAGTAAATGACTAGTTTGAACTATTTATTATGTGTATAATCTCTTGGTTTAATTAACGTTGTCATCTAGATTCACTATGATCAGAGTTCCTACAACAAAGACTTCCGCTACCAAACTCTTCTAAGGCAAGCCTATCCTATCCAAAGATCCTTATTATAACATGGTATGAGAGCTAGTTTGGATAATAGGAACTGCTAAAAGGGCTTCAAAACAAGCCTTGTTACAAATTTAATCTACATCAAGAGCAACAAGATGCCAGGCGCGGATTGCGGAGAGGCTGGAGAAAATCCAGTGCAACCTCCCACCAATGTCGCTTCTGCCATAGCGACATTGGACACAACGCTCCTCGAGCAGCTGATCTTCCACATCAGCGCCCTGGAGAGCCATCAGCCGATGAGCATCGACGGCTCCAGTTACGCCCGAAGACATCCCGACCCTCAAGGAGCTGGATGTGAACGATCCTTCACATTTGACAACCGCGGAGCCCAAGGATCTGCATAAGCACAACAGACGCATTACGAAGCAATGGCTTCAATGCAAAGCAAATTCCTTTCGACATCGAAGCTCAAGACAACGAAGCCCTTCGATGGACAAGACTTCTACACATGAAGCTTCAAATTCGAGCTACTAGCCCAGGGTGCTTCGATCTGGATGTATTATGATGGATCATACGCATTTCCGACTAACGGCTCACCTCAGCAGAAGACGCAGTACTACAACGAATCGCTCCTGACCTTCACCGACTTCATCCGGAACCTATCGCCTGAAGAATAGCGGAGCATTCGCCCCTTTAAGAACTAGTGGGCACCCGCGCAATAATCCTGGGAACACCTACGCACCTGCCACATGGCAACGGACTCAGTGACACTTAGTCGCCTGCTCAACCAGCTGAACAATGTCAAGATGTTCCCCGGTGAAAAGGCCGGACCATACATCAACTGCTGCAGAAACCTGAGAGACCAGTTCAGGAAAAGCGGCGGCAACTTCCCTGACGACATGTTCGTCACCACCATCCTCGCTGGCTTGAGTCCGGAATGGCGCCAGTGCAAGTTGCTCCTTTGCACGCAAGGAACCCTCACCGAAACTGCCATCTGCGCCTCACTCCTCTCCGGACGGAAGGAGATCGATATGTACAACGAAAGAGGCAACAATAAGGAGAAGATCGCTTTCTACGCGCAAGCGCCACCAGACAAGAAAAAGCTCTTCTGCACATACTGCAAGAAGACAGGGCATATAATTCAAGATTGCTGGAAGCTGAACGGCAATAACAACAAACAAAAGGTTGCCGCGACTCACTAGCAAGGAGGGGCTCCAACACGCAAACAGACAGTGTCACCACCAGCTGTCGCCAGCATGTCTCAAGTTCCGGCGTGCATTTCTGCGAATGCAAACGACAAAGGCAAGAGCAAGGTGTTAACTTGCATGGTGCGTCACGGACCGCCTCGCCCAAACCGACATTACCGCTTCTTCCGCAGCTGGGAGGAGATGTTCACAGAACCACCTGAGGAGCGATTCGA